GGGCTGATGTTATTTCAAAGAAAAAAATACTAACTTCCAGATCGCTATAGCTCCAGTGTGGGCTAGTTCTGTAAAAGCTAATTCTACAAGCGCGCCAAGGGACTGCAGGTACTTGGGCTACACTTGAGGAAGTGTCCGGAGTTGGCGGAAACCGCCCATCCACTCCGGCTCCCAGAGGCGCTAGGTTGCAGCGGTTTAGCTGAGACACACACACAGAGGTGTGAGGCTTTCTAGAAAACGATGTGGCCGAGGCCTCAGGCTGGGTCTCGACGCGCGCCGACCGAGACTCGACCAGCTCTCCGGCCCCGGGCAGGAGGTTGGCGAGGCTAGCGTGGGGTCACGCGGGCTGGGTGTTCACTCGCCAGTCCCCAACTGCCGCAACCAAGAGAGCTCGGGGCCCCGACTCCAGGACGGCCAAGGTTGACTGTCCCTATAGTTTCCAAGTAGGAGGGTGGAGGGGTGAGTGCTGGCGCTGGGACGGAGCAAATCCCCCAGGAAAAGAAGAGGACAGAAGGAGGCGCAGCCGTCGGCACGAACCAGGCGCGCGCTGGCTCCCCCAGCCCGGTTCGGACGCAGCCCCTCGGCACCCCTGACACACCCACTGCGCCCCGCCACCCGCGCCAGCCCGCCCGGCGGTCCTGAGGGGGCCCGAGAGGCTGGCAGCGGCCGGGCCGGGTCGTGACCCCGCGGGCTGGGCGCAGAGGGCGCGCGGCGCGGGCAGCTCGGCTCACCTGGCGGTCCGTGTCCCGGAGCGGCCGGTGGCCGCCTCGCCTCGCCCCCGCGTGGTTCCCGGCGCCGGGCAGCCCCGAGCGCGCCGCATGGACGGCCGCCGCCGCCGCCGTCCCACGCCCGTCCTGCACGGGCTCCCGCTGCGCCCGGGTTTCGCGTCGGGCTGCGCGGGCGGCCAGAGGCTCGGGCGCGCGCGGAGAACTCTGGCTCTGAGTTTGCGATCCCGAGAGCCGGGATCCGCGCTCCCTCAGTCCCTCCTCCCTCCCCCACTCTCGGCCTCCTGCTGTCATCTGGAGCCGCTCCTGACGCCCCCTGGCGGCCGCCTCGGGAAGCACCGGCCCCCAACCCACCCTCACTCACCAGAGGGGCCCCTTAACGAGGACGAACGCCACGGATCCCTGGGTGAAAGCGGACAGACATCATTCCGTAGAGGGGAGGACAGTCTAGACCGAGGAAAGGAGGGAGGAGGGTGGCGAGGTTGGAAGGAAGAGCGGTCCGGGCTGGCCAAGTAAGAGGAAAAAGGGGTGAGACCAGGAGGTAATTAAACTAGGGCCAGATGGTGGAAGGCCCTGAATTCCGCGCTCATCTTATCCTGAGGTTTGTGGGAGCCATTGAAGGACCGAGGCACAGGAGGGATGGGGGCATCCTTGCGTTTTGGGACAACCATTCTGGCTACAAGAGGATGAGGATGAGGCTGAAGCAGGGAGCCAGCAAGAAAATTTTTGCTGTAAACAAGAGCGGAGAAGAAGGCAGTGACTATAAGGGCGGCGACAGAAGAGCCCTCCTGTAAGGGGCGCACAGTCACACGCGCACACTCACACAAAAGATAATACTCACTGGGCTCCTTCTAAAGGCAAGGGACAAAGGACAAGAGCCCTCCACATTCTAACTAGGGTTAGACAGCATGGGGGAGAGAGAAAACTCGCTTCTGACAGCCAGAGGGATTCGGCATTTTTCTTGTCTTAGGGTAATACTGTATCCCCACACACAGGAAAAAAACCTGCTGCAAAACAGTAATAATAAAAATCAAACTTTGATCTGTATATCCAAGCCCTTCTTTTTACGAACTGGCAAATATCGTCCCAGGGAGGGCATGACCAAATTTACCCAGCTAGCTAATGGCCGGAAAATTACTAGAGCCCAGTTTCTTGGTTCCTAATGCAGTGCTACATTCTTTCAATTCAAATGGAGGCGTTTAAAGCTAGTGAGGTAGGAAATAGAATGACTGTGAGAAAATGTCCCTCCTCTCCCAGGAGGGGGTAAGGGTGACCTTAAATATTTGAAGAGGTTGTCCAGATACAGGTAGACTCCCTACATGAGTCAGCCTGTTTGATTATGACTGCCTCCAAAGCCTGCCTGCAGGAGTTGTTTTGAAAGTGCAGGTGCACGGGTGGAACAATGAAGGTGGCAGTAGAATGTAAGCTCCCTGCCCCAGAGCCAGGCCGATCCAGGGACGGGTGTGGTATGTGGGAGGAGAAAGGAGAGCAGCAGGGCAGAAACCTCCAAGGGAAAAAAAAATAACAAAAGAGAAAGTGACAACCCAAGAGATCAGGCCAAAGAAAATCACCAACTTTGAGTGCCGACTACTGGCCTGGAGCCTGGGCAGAGCCAGCTCTCCCTGATTCAAGCTAGTTCAAATAGGATGAAATAATTCCATACTCGCTCACACAGATTTTGATTGGTGGCACAGTGGGATGAAATGAATTCTGAGTGTCATGAGCCCCTTGGGTCCAGATTAAGTGGCTCTAACAGCTCTGACCAGTTTAAACCATTTAAAATGATAGAAAAATTATAAAACATTGGGATATACTTAATGTCCCAATGAACTGGACACTTCAAATGGTTAAAATTATGTAGTGTATATTTTACCACAATTTAAAAAAAAAAAAAAACTAATAAAACTTGTTCAAAATGGATTGATTTATTAATTTATTGAAGAGATATGTACAGAGTGCTGAGAAGGGCCTTGGAACTCAGAGGTAAATATAAAATGAAGAAAACATTCCAGTCCAAAAGACACTCAGAGTAAGGCGAGAAAGGTGCAGAATAGAAAATCATACTGGTAGGTGGTAGGTATAACTGGGGCATCTGCAGATCCCCAACTCATGAGAGGGGATCGGAAATCCTGGGATGTTCTGCCTGAGCTGAGCCTTAAAGGATGAGGGAAGTTCTTCAGGCAGGCCATGGTATGAGCAGGGCTTAGGAAGCAAGGATATGGAGTTTTTTAAAAACTAATTTTAGACACACAGACAAGTTGCAAAAATAGTACAAAGAATTCCCTTATATTCCCACCCTTCTTCCATTGATGTGAACATCTTACATAACCAGAGTGCAATTTTTATTGACCAAACTTAATCCAAGTGACCTAAGCTGGCTTTTCAGAACTGATTCTGATCCACTTCAAACTTGTTCAAATAGTTGTGACCACATTTTGCTTACATGTCACAGAGTGTTCTCTTTTTTAAAGTCAAGACTGTGAAATCTAGTCTCATTTTAAACAGAGATATTTACATTCTGTATAGACACAAGAGAATATTAATTATACAAAGTCAGCAAGTTTTAAATCTTTCAGTCCTGTTGCATTTCTACTTTAACCCAAGCGTATGGGTGTGCGTGCATCAGACTGGCAGAATTTGGTCCTCATGTATAAACAACTAACCCTCTCTAGCAGAGAGGACAAAGCAGAGTGGGTGCCTCAGATCCCAGTCACAGGCCACCCTGCGGTCGTCCAGCTCCCTGGCATGTCAGTGTCTTCTGTACACAACACCTTGGAGGGCAGTTTGTCAGTTACCCTCGTGCATATCTGCAGTGTTAAGGTGCTCACTACTCATAAAATAGCCCATACTGTTGTTGGAGACTTTCTGTTACAAAGCCCCCTCTAATTGTTAACTGAAAGCTTTTTCCTGTGACCACTGCCCATTGGCCCTAGAAGTGGCTCCTAAGCTGAGAAACAAAAATCATAACCCCTCTGTCAGCTCCACATATATAGGGCAGCCCTAGTTTCCACCTGCTGCCACATATAATTAGGAATAATTAGTGCCCCCTTCACTCCACTGTCCAGGTTGCTATGATAGACGACCTGGTCATCCTGCACAAGACTGCCACCACCCCACCTCACTAAGCCTGCCCCCTGCCAAGCACCACATGCCCAGCATCCCACCATTCCTCCTGGGGGTCCCCAGCCTGGAGCATAACATCAGCACTAGTGAGGACTTCCTAATGTTGGGGGACCGATGGCATACTGCTGAGAGCGGCTTCCTGGGATTTCAGAGCATATGGGACTGGAATGAGAGCCCAGTGTTGAACAGATTGCAGGAAGGCAGCTTGGGACAACCGGACCTTTTGGGGGGAACATATGAGTAACACAGCTTCTGCACTTCACTAATAAGTACTGACCAGGAATCCTTTTACCAGCAGAATATTTCTTGGGGCTAGAGTTCCAGAAGTTACGCTTTGAAAAAATACTGCTCTCTACTCTTGACAAACACTAATGTTTTCATCCTAATGGCATTCCTGGGGGTTGTGTCCCAGCAGGGAAGAAAACCCCTCCATTATCCCTTCTTTGTTAACATTTGGAGGTGGAAGGGAAGCAGACATGTAGTCCAACCCCTAATTTCAGGCTCCAGCAAGATACCGGGTACCCGGAATAATGCAAAATCGTTCTCTTCATTTTCTTGGTTGTGAACGTTTGTAGACTGCAAAGTCAAGGCAAGCTTGTGCCCAGTGAATAATAAGGAAATAAGGGAAGCGTGATTTAAACAAAACAAAATAAAACAAAACAGAACACCACGACACAACAGAGTCCCTCGCGAGCTGGTAAACATGTAGTTTTAAGCTGCTTCTGAGAACCTTTCGGTGAGTGTTAAGAAGCCTTCCCTCCCCTGCTTGCCTCCTTAACTTACTTCTTTCTCTTCCTCCTCCAGGGCATCTGGGGTATGGACCTAAAAACCGGGTTCCTCCCGAGGGCCTGCCTGGGGCTGGCCCCCACTTGGCCTGTAAGAGAATAGCTGTACCACAGGCTCAGAGGACAGCAGTAAAATGACTTCTCGATGGAATGTCGGTTTCCAATGAAGTGTCTTCAGGGAGTCTTCAGGCTACGCTCAGGTTATCTAATTCCCCTTACCTCTCGTACTTCACCCTCATTCCCTTTCTTGTCTCATGGCCAGAAAGAGGAGATAGGAAGCCTCAAGTTACCTGGTACAAGACAACTTTTGGAATCCCAAACATTCAGATTATTTCTCTTTTCCCTCTTTGCAAGCGGTAATACTCACAGCTAAGAGGCATCACCCAGGTTGAAGCCGCTTCTGTCCAGGAGCAGCAATGCGGAGCAAAGTAGAAGGCGGACATCACAGCCTCCGGACCCACAGGCTCCCTTTCTCATTCTGGCGATGATTAACTAGGCAAAGACAATGGAGAGCGATGGAAGAAGTCCGTTTGCTAGCGCCTGCTCCTCTCACACATGATTGGTCATTCTTTCATTCATCCATCCAACCTATACTTATTGAAGCTGACTATGAATGATCGAAGGGAGGATGAGAAACGTTAACCAAAGTCAAAAGGGGACAGGGTGGGAGAGATTGTTCTAGACAGAAGGAAGCACACTTGCAAAGGCCCCGAGGGAAGCATGATGCACCTGGGGAAAATAAAGAAGGGCTGTGTGGCCAGGGCTCAGGGAGAGAAAGGGAGGAAGTGGGGCAGGGGGATATGTTTGACTGCGTTGAGTCTTCCAGGAGGGGTTAACGAGCCTTTGACAACCACAAAGGCACAGGCATGTCCCATCAGAACAGACACAAGCCACAGGCTGGGGCAGGGTCCTGGGGCCCCCCTGCTGCCCTAGATGCTGGATTTCGGGAAGGTCCAGGGATCCCAGAGGGGAAGAAGTGTTGGGGGCAGCTCAAGTGTAGTGGCTATTACTCAACCAATCCCAAAACATATCATTTCATGATCGATAGGGAAAGCTGTCCTGCGCAAATCTGTTAAAGGTCAGTGATGTTTAGCATCATTTTCGTGAGCTGGGTTATTTTCAAATGAGCAAGAGGAAGCCTCTGAGGTGTTTTAAGCAGGGGCTGGCCTGACCAGATCTGTGTTTATCCAAAGGGAGAGGAAAAAAAAAAATCCTTTGGTTAATTAAAAAAAGAAAGAAAAAAAAAAGGTAATGTAAAAACATCATTTCACAATTCTTTTGTAATGCAAAAATAAATGCAAAACAAAACAAATCCATCACTCTAAAGGAATGCCCTGTGTTTGCCTTACCCTGCTTCCTGGGAGACTCTCCTGATAAGGTCTTGGCCTTCACTCATTGCCCATGCTGCCCTCGTGACCGGCACCACAAGTCTCCAAGACGGCCGCAGGGTTAGAGGTCTCAGCACAGAGAGCAGCGTCTCTGTTTGAGGCTAATCAGCTTACACGGTGCCTGAAATTGCTGTCACCTTAGCCTCACTGGCAATTTTCCCTCTTTTATCAAACTGGCTTTCTTGTTGAATGAATTGATTTTTATAAAGTCTCAGAGATACCACATATCCAATGAACACGGGCCAGATATGGTTTGTACATAATCCCAGGCACTACAGACCACAAAGTCAAACAGTCTCTAGGTTCATTGCTCTACTTTGCCAGTCATCTTTGTCTTGCCTCTATTGTCAATATATAGAGACCTACTGTGTGCCACTTGTGACATCTGGCCAGACTTTGCTGCCAAGATTTCTATGGGTCCTGCGTTCCTTTTCTTTTTCTTTCCTGTTTCCTGTTTCCTACTCTCTGCGTGATGGTGGCGTCTTCTTGTGAGAAGCACTTGAGCGTAGTAGAAGGCGGCAGGTATCCCCCAACCTCCACGCCAGCACCACTCACTGGCCATGTCGATATCAAAATCACCCACCTCAGAACTGCAGTCCCCTCATTTAGAAAATAGGAAGAACATATTTATACATGTTGGAAGAAAAGGGGCTCACACCAACTCCTGAAGCCCCTTCCAGCTGTCAGATCTATTATTCTCTCAGAAACTCTGCAACAGGGAAATCCTGTGGCTCATTTTGGATCCATCTGGGAAAAGATGACATACACAGAGAAGCATGTGACTTCTTTTGTAAAAATTTCAAGCTGCATTTGAAATGCCTTCTTTTAATCCTGCAATGTAGAGAATTACCACACAACTCTAGTGCCACATTATGGCTTCAAGAGAAAACTCCCCGCAGCCTGTGTCTTGAGGCTTTAAGACTCATTGACTTAGCTGCTGTGCTCATTTGTTTGGGAGGGATGAGAGAAGGCCTGCTGTGTGTGTGAGCCCTGGAGTGGCTCCGATGTTCCCCTTGAAGTAGCTGTCAGTCCAAAGGCTATAGGATCCATGTCCGTGGCAGCTTCTTCCTAAGGTCACCTTTCCCTATTTCAAATCATGGAGTTCTAGAGGCGGAAGAGGGCATTTCTTCTTACGCAGATAACGAGTGGCAAACATTCATACTATGAGTATGTGTGTGTTTGATTGAGAACAACCCCTGATAAGTGCTGGGCTGGTGCCCTTTCCATTACCGCATGGGGGCCAGGCCTTGAGCTATTTCAGGGAGCCGTCCTTCCCCTTGTAAGTTCACGCATGGAGACAACTGGGGTCTCATGCTGTCAGAAACAGCTCTCAAAGCCACTAAAAACATCTTGAGTTTCAGATCTCATACACATTAAAGCTGAGGACTTCGGGCCCTACTCAAAGCATATTTAATCTAATCAAGTGGTGTTTTTCCTTCTTTGGAGTTAAAACAAAAACACTGCTGGATCTCCCTCATGGGCTTGTTTGGAGGCTCGGCCCTGCAGTATGGACACAAATTTCTACTACTCTGCATGCCTTGCCTCTTTCTAGAACTCATCTATGGATCTCAAGTTTGTTCAGGAAGAGTCCGGAGGCGCGGGGAGCATTTCTTCTAAAGTGTTGGGAGGACTACTGCCTCCAGAGCCGGCAGCCTGAGCAGCGGGGTTGCTGCCTCACCTCTACTTCTCCAAGGGAAAGGACTGCACCTGCTCTTGTGCCCTTCAAAGAGCAAGCCGTGTGAAGGTGGAAGTCTTTAGACAAGGCAGAGCTACCCCTGCATCAGCTGGCATAATACATTTCAGGGCAGGTGTACCATGAGTATGAGAGTAGATGGAAGGCTGCAGAGTGGGGTGGTCTGAAGCTACGATTCAGAAAAACAGTAGCAGCTTGTTTTAATCTGCTTCTAGCCATGTGACCTTGAACATTGTCTTCACCTCTCTGAGCCTCAGTTTTCTCATCTGCAGAGTGAGACTAAACACTCACAGCTGACTTCTCTCAAGCGGGGAAATGTGTAGAGCGCGCTCTCATGCCCTCTACCTTCCCTCTTAGAATTCTGAGAGAAGGTGGGCTGTGTCCATGGTCAGCCCCTTCTGTCTGACTAGCTATATTGCTGTTTTTCCATTGTCACTGGAATATTCCAAGGATGAATGAAGGGTGTGGGATCGAGCAGAGAACAAACGTAAGCAAGAACAAGCATGTAGACTAATATACAAACTTCTGACCCAGTCCTACAAATGGAAAATACCACACAGAGGGAACGAATCCAAATCACCCTGACGTGCAATCAGATACTGGTGCAGGTGGACAAGAGCCCTGGTTGCTTTTTATTTTTTCTTCTCTTTTCAATTTCTTTCTTTTTCTCTTTCTTTCTTTTGTTCTTTTGTTTTTATCATTCTTTTATTCTTTTTCAAAAAAGAAAAATTAACTTTGTGAAATTGGGGGTCAAGCTTTTCATTTGTCAGCAACTGAAGTTCCCTTGAAGATAATAAGAAACACCTTCTATAAAATGACTTCCTGAAGAGGAGACATCTGAGCTAAACAAGTGTGCACCTGGGTCCTTGCTCTGCTCACTTACTAACGGTGTGACTTTGGAAAAGTGCCCTAATAGAGCCTGAGTTTTTCAACTCCAAAGAGAAGATAACAATTCTTGAGGGCACGGTTTGGGCAGTCATTACTATTTCCCCTTTAGGGGCAAGAGAAGATTTAACTTCACGGTCCCCTTGAAGTTAAATGTGGCCATGTGATTTTCTTTGGCCGATGGAATATGACTTCTCTTTTTAAAAATAGAAAGAAAGAGAGAAAGAAAAATAGAAGGACAGAAGGAAGGAAGGAAGGAAGGGAGGGAGGGAGGGAGGGAGGGAGGGAGGGAGGGAGGGAGGAAGGGAGGAAAGACAACAGATGCTTTAAGTCTCAGTTTACCAATCACATTTCCTTCCCACTGGTGCCATGATTGTAGAAGCTACAGTTAAGATGTTGCCTTGCTTAGTCTGGGTCTCAGAGGTCTCTGAGGAGCAGAGCACCCACCACTCCTGTTGGATGTGTAGCATCTTTTGCTGTGTTAAGCCACTGAGATTTGGGTTTGTTTATTCATGCGGAAAAACCTAGTATACCATGACTGAAACAGTGGTTGTTACAATAAAATATGATGGTATTTGTAGATACAAGTTGGCAGTGGCAATGTGCTCGAGAAGCCTTGTTATTTCACTATCCAGAGGTAATTGTATTGATTAGCCCAAGTTAAGGGGTAAATTCTGGGCACGGGTCAGGCAGGCCACAGAAAGCTGCAACTTAATCCAGACTACTTGTCTCCACCAGGGGGCAGAATCAGGAAAATCCTAAAAAATTTCCCCCAGTAGTTCTGCCTTGGTGACCAAAATATCCCGTCTACCTTTGAATAAGCTCCAGATAAAGGGTCAATCGATGTCCTAAAAGGGGAGATGCCTAGGGAGATTTCACAGGCTCTGGGGACTTGAGTGATGCTCAGGGATGAGCAGGCACAATAGTGGGAGGGGTCTCGAAGAGCAGCAATTTAGAATGAGGCCTGCATTGTGGTGGGGGGAGGGGGCATCCTTGGCAGTGGGAAGTTTAAGGTCACCTCGGTATGTGGTCCCTGTCTCTCCTTTCTTGCCTTAGTAGTTTTCTTCCTCACACCTTCCGTGATAACTTCTCAACTCCAGGCTTCCATTTCCTGGATATCCTAGCAGACTCTTCAAGTCAGTGTGTGACGGAGGGAACCATCACCTCCCACAACCAAAACTGCTGTCTCCTTATTCCAGGCTCCATATCTGGGTGAAGGGCAGCTGTCTTCCCAATCGCTTAGGCTTAAAATCTCAGAATTCTTATGGCCTCTTGGGACACTCTCTTTTCTTCCTGTTAATGTGAAAGGGGAGAATGTAAACAAGAAAAACAACTGAAAGTACTGTACAGGCCAGGTAAGGTGTGGTTCAGTCTTAATGTGAATTTGTTCCTTTGAGAATTTGTGTTTGGGAGGAATGTCTCTAATTGTAGATTCAGAAAATAGGACGTGGACTGCCTAATTTTTTCAGGCCATAATAAAGAGCTATTGCTGGTCAATGAAATTTTAAAATGTAACATATATATATATATACACACCATTTTCCACATAGCAAAAGACCAATGATTTAAATGAGATGCTGATTCCACAAAAGATGCAATAAGGAAGGACACACTAAATGCAACTATAAATCCTGGACAGAATGGAGGGAGTAGCTCTCTGAGGGCCCTGAAACATAAATTGTAGCAGGCAGATTGCTACAATCCTTTGACACCAGGATTCAAAGTTCCACTAAGTCAGCAGTGAGTTTGCCATTTTTTTCCTCTAGTGTTGCCCAGTCTGGACTCAAAGGCAGCCAGAAACTCAGAAGTGTGCCCCAGGGGCCGACAGAAATAGCTCCAAGAGAGTCCTCTGTTTCTGGTCCAAGAACTAAGAAAGGGGACTCCTAAGAGTCAGAGAGAAAGAGAGGGAAAATCCTCTGGTTTTTGTTTCTTTTTTTCCTTCTTTTCAGCCTCTCCCACAGGCAGCAGTGGTGGTGGGGATGGGAAAGGGGGTGGTGGCAGTGGTGATGGGCAGGCACCTAAAGCTCTGAGGGAGGAAGGAGAACCATTCTGTTTGACCAGAGGAGCAGTGACCAGAAGAAGGTGAGCAAGCCTCCATTCCTTTTTTTCCTCTCTCTGTCCCCCTGCCACTCGACTCCAGACACAATAACAGTCACAGGAAGTATGTGGCCGAGCTAGCAAACTATAGACCAAGCCTGCTGGCTAAAGGACTAGGAAGAAGGCTCCAAGGAGCCAAAAGGTGTGGGCAAGATCATGGAGAGTAGGGATATTAAGAAAGAAATCCATGAACTTAATGTATTAACTCCTGGGTTCACCTCCAAGCTGAACATGTATGGATCTGACTTTAAAAAGCATACCACAGGTTTAGAGAACTGAACTACAGGTTAGACCAAGATTCTGCCCCAAGACTGCCCACTGGGTGGCACACACACAGGACTGATGTGAATAATGCTGCACTTTGAAAACAGAACTAGTATTGGAATCATAGCCCACAGAGGCAGTTCCACAGAGGTTGGAACTTACAGCCAGGATATAACGTGGTTAATTGCCTGCTTCAAAAAAACAAGCAAACAAAAAAAACAATGTTTCTTTAAACCAGATTAAAACCAGGCTCAGAGTCTCATAATATTTCAAAATATCAAGGATATAGGCCAAAATTTCTCAGCATATGAAGAATCATGAAAGTCTCAACTAACAAGGAAAGAGAAAATCAACAGATATTAACCCTGAAAAGACGCAGATGCTAGAATAATCAAAGATTTTTAAAGCAGTGATTGTAACTATGCTCAAAGAAGTAAGGGTAAGCACTCCTGAAACAAAAGAAAAACAGAAGGTCTCTCTCTGGAAAAAAAAGGAAGATATAAAAACAAATGAAATGGAAATTTTGGAACTGAAAAGTACAATAATTAAAGTATTGACTTGAGTACAGTAAGTCCCATACATACGAACCTTCAAGTTGCAAGCTTCCAAAGATACAAACGGGCATTCACATGTCCAGTCACGTAAGTTAGTTCATGTGTCTGGTGTACATTGTTACATGCGTGCATCCTCTACAAGTGGTTGTGCTTTTGTGTACTTTACTGTACGGTACTGTATAGAGTACAGCAGTACAGTATCTTTAGTTCAAGCCCAGGGTATCCAGAAGCAAGTGTAAACGCAGCGGTGATGTAGCTGGTACTGCTAAGAAGTGCCGAGAGATAACAACGGAAACGAAAGTGAAAATAATTGAGAGAGTGGAGCGAGGCAAAAAGATGGTAGACATCGCTTGTTCTTATAATATGAATTGTTCAACCATCGGCACGATTCTGAAGAACACGGACAAGGTCATGGAACATGTGAAGTCTGCTGTGTCAATGATGTCAACAATAATATCGAAGAAGCATGGAAAAGAGATGGAGGAGATGGAGAAACTTCTCAGTGTGTGGATGCAGAATCAGCATCAGCGTCGAGTCCCTCTCAGCTTAATGCCAATTCAAAAGAAAGCTAAAAGCCTTTATGAAGACTTGAAGAAACACAGTGAAGAATCAGAGGGCACATCTTTTAATGCCAGCCTTGGCTGGTTTCATCAGTTCAAGGCTAGAGCCAACAATCACAACGTAAAAGTAAGTGTCAAGGCAGTGAGTGTAGATACGGTAACTGCCCGGGAATTTCCTGAAACGCTTCGAGAAATTACTGATGAAGGCGAGTATTTACCTGAGCAGGTTTTTAATGTGGATCAGACAGGACTGCACTGGAAGAGGATGCCAGACCGAAGTTACATCAGTAAGGAGGAAAAGTTGATGCCAGGCTATAAAGCAGCAGAGGATAGGCTAACTCTGTTGTTTGGTGGCAATGCTTCCAGTGATATGAAGGTGAAGCCTCACTTAGTTTATCATTCAGAGAACCCAAGAGCCCTTAAAACCAGAGCCTAGGAGTACGGGGCCATCGCAACGGGTTAAAAGAAACCCTAAAAGTTAACCCTTACTCCTGGGAGACCCCGGTGGGGTACAAATGCTGGGTGAGCCCAGCACATCCTCAGTACATTCCCTAGGACAGAGACCCAGGCCTGGAGATAACGTGCTAGATGCGGCCTGCAGCATCACCATCTGGGAGAACAGGAGGGGAGAGAAGCCTTTAACAATCTGCCATTACCCCAAAGAGGCCTCACTTAGCCAGAAGATAATATGCTACCCTGGAATTGTGTGTTACAACACAAGGAAGGAGCCACATTTTCACAAAACGCGTGGGTTCATGTTTGTTTCATTAAAAAATTGGGCTGCACCAGAAAGACAATATCCAGCCTCATCCACCATGACACAGGCACCAGTCCACTCCACCAGGAAGCCTACACAACCCACTGAACCAACCTTAGCCATTGGGGGCAGACGCGAAAAACGATGGGAAGTACGAACCTGCAGGCTGCAAAAAAGAGACCCCAAACACAGTAAGTTAAGCAAAAGGAGAAGACAGAGAAACACACAGCAGATGAAGGAGCAAGGCAAAAACCCACCAGACCAAACAAATGAAGAGGAAATAGGCATTCTACCTGAAAAAGAATTCACAGTAATGATAGTAAAGATGATCCAAAATGTTGGAAACAGAATGGAGAAAATACAAAAAACGTTTAACAAGGACCTATAGAACTAAAGAGCAAACAGACAACGAAGAACAACACAAAAAAATGAAACTAAAAATTCTCTACAAGGAATCAGTAGCAGAATAACTGAAGCAGAAGATGGGAAAGTGACCTGGAAGATAAAAAAGTGGAAATAACTACTGCAGAGCAGAATAAAGAAAAAAGAATGAAAAGAATTGAGGACAGTCTCAGGGACCACTGGGACAACATTAAACACACCAACATTCGAATTATAGGGCTCCCAGAAGAAGAAGAGAAAAAGAAAGGGACTAAGAAAATATTTGAAGAGATTATAGTTGAAAACTTCCCTAATATGGGAAAGGAAATAGTCAATCAAGTCCAGGAAGCACAGAGAGTCCCATACAGGATAAATCCAAGGAGAAACACGTCAAGACACATATTAATCAAACTATCAAAAATTAAATACAAAGAAAAAAATATTAAAAGCAGCAAGGGAAAACAACAAATAACATACAAGGGAATCCCCATAAGGTTAACAGCTGATCTTTCAGCAGAAACTCTGCAAGCCAGAAGGGAGTGGCAGGACATATTTAGAGTGATGAAAGGGAAAAACCTACAACCAAGATTACTCTACCCAGCAAGGATCTCATTCAGATTTGACGGAGAAATTAAAAACTTTATAGATAAGCAAAAGCTAAGAGAATTCAGCACCACCAAACCAGCTCTACAACAAATGCTAAAGGAACTTCTCTAGGCAGGAAACACAAGGGAAGGAAAAGACCTACAAGAACAAACCCAAAACAATTAAGAAAATGGTAATAGGTACATACATATCGATAATTACCTTAAATGTAAATGGATTAAATGCTCCAACCAAAAGACATAGACTGGCTAAGTGGATACAAAAACAAGACCCGTATATATGCTGTATACAAGAGACCCACTTCAGACCTAGGGACACATACAGACTGAAAGTGAGGGGATGGAAAAAGATATTCCATGCAAATGGAAACCAAAAGAAAGCTGGAGTAGCAATTCTCATATCAGACAAAATAGACTTTAAAATAGAGATTATTACAAGAGACAAAAAAGGACACTACATAATAATCAAGGGATCAATCCAAGAAGAAGATATAACAATTGTAAATATTTATGCACCCAGCATAGGAGCACCTCAATACATAAGGCAAATGCTAACAGCCATAAAAGGGGAAATCAACAGTAACACAATCATAGTAGGGGACTTTAACACCCCACTTTCACCAATGGACAGATCATCCAAAATGAAAATAAATAAGGAAACACAAGCTTTAAATGATACATTAAACAAGATGAACTTAATTGATATTTATGGGACATTCCATCCAAAAACAACAGAATACACTTTATTCTCTAGTGTTCATGGAACATTCTCCAGGATAGATCATATCTTGGGTCACAAATCAAGCCTTGGGAAATTTAAGAAAATTGAAATCATATCAAGTACCTTTTCCAACCACAACACTATGAGAGTAGATATCAATTACAGGAAAAAATCTAAAACATACAAACACATGGAAGCTGAACAATACACTACTAAATAACCAAGAGATCACTGAAGAAATCAAAGAGGAAATCAAGAAATACCTAGAAACAAATGACAATGAAAACACGATGACCTAAAACCTATGGGATGCAGCAAAAGCAGTTCTAAGAGGGAAGTTTATAGCAATACAGT